CCTCATTAATTATGCAAATTACTCCTGATTTGCATGATTTTCATCTGATTATGTCAAGCATCATTTCAGCTACCCACATACCAAAAATCACCATAATCCGTCAACCGTTTCTCGAGTTATCATCCTTTAAAAAAAATTTCAACGAACGCTCCTGCAGTTCCAGAACAAGCCGCTAGGGGGCCCAAGCTCATGTCACTTCTTCCCCACCTTAAGAGCTATCTACCAACCAAAAATTCGTGACCCTAGCATGTCCAGATCGCGAGATATCAAAAGCGGAAGTTCTGCTGCAGTACCAAAAAAAGCCGCCAGGGGGCCCAGAATCTAATCATTTCTAGGTCTCATCAAGACCTACGCACCTACCAAGTTTCATGGCAATACATTTTAAGCTTCTAGAGTTATGCTGTTCACAGACAGACAGACAAACGCTACTGAAAACATAACCTTCTTGGCGAAGGTGATAATAAAATTTTGGATCCCCCCACAATCCCCACATACCGTCATGTACTTTTTTGCCTATTACCAGTAGATACTCTATACCAGACCTGTAAAATATGTCCTCCAAGTATTGAGTCTGTCCTATCCATGTATACGTACATGTAGCTAAATCTATGATCATACTTACCTTTTGATACCTATTAGTATCTCTTGAGAAGAAGTCCCTCCCAGTATGGCCTCTTGGTTCAAGCACTAAGACTGACAGGGCCTGACCACGCTGACACCAACTGCAATTTTTTTGGCCTGTCTACAATAATCATATTTTTTCATGTGACAACATGTATGACGTTATGTATGACGTGATGTTATTTAATACTTACTGAAACATTCATAAATATCATGGAACATGAATGTTTTAGTTTGACTTGCTGATCATGCAAACATGTAGACGTGTAATGTGTATAAGGTCAGGTATAAGTCAATCACACAGTGTAGAAAAAATAGTGTTAACATGTCATAAAATTTTTAACTGCTTTCTTATAAATTTCATGAAGAATATTGAGTCAGACTTCTCTTTATTTCCTGAACATTTAGAACAATGACTAAGTCTTGTAGATTATCACTACCGGCAACAGTTTTCATCAAATTGAATATTATCACTTTATATGTCACAGTAGTCTTGTTATTCTTGAACATACATTTCATGAGAAAATACATTTTATCCCACTACTAGTGATGTTACAGTTTGATACATGAATTCAAAAGGAACAGTTCTATAAAAAAAATCAAAATGATACATATGTAGCTTTTAGCCTCTAAGACATGCTTTGACCGCAATACATTGAATGGGGAAAAATTCATTTTGTGTGATTGCAGGACATGATTATTACAAATTAGTAGGTTCGGGTGAACCTTTGGAACTTCATGCATGTAAGGTTTGTTTGCTTTCTACTAAAAGATTCCTGCTCACCTTTAACTCTGAAACAGAAGATCTGATCCAAATTCAAGCTTAGCAGGTTCTCTTGCCACTGTGCAGTGAGGAAATGATGGGAAGCTGTTTCTCATTCCTGTTCTTTTATAAGCCTTATACTATTAGGTGTTTTTCTAAGGTTTGCTCCTTTTTCATACAGTGTCTGTATGTCATGTGACAAACAGGTTCAAACCAGTCTTACGCAAACTTTGGTAATGTACATTTGGCAGTCAACTATCAGATAATGTACAATGTACAAATTACAATGTACAATGTGCAATGTACAGGGCTCGAAATACTGGGTGCATGTGCACCTTAGTGCACCCAAAATTGGAGCTGTGCACCCAATATATTTCTGTCGGTGGGTGCACTGGTGCTCCCAAATATTTTTGTAGGTATTTTTGTACATATCAAATGACTGTATAATAGCATGCAGGATATTCTTGGCATCAGTGTCAGAAAAATTTTTGTTGTTCTACTCAGTACTTGTTTAAGATTATAAAGTTAGCTCCCATTTCAGATTCAAGCTCAGAAGAGGAGCAGTAAGATCTTTAATTTTTTTTTTATATGGTGCACAAAAAAACTTGTTACGTTGGGTGCACAAGTGCACCAATTCCAAAAAATGAATTTTGAGCCCTAATGTACAATGTACGACACAGTCAACTAGTATGTACAATGTACACAGTTCACTGCCTTGATCTCAATGTTATTGGCTGCACGTTAATTTTTAACATGCTTTTTGCTCCTGTTTTCAGTAACATGGGCCTTAGGCCACACCAATTTAATTAATGTTGGTTCTCGGATTTTTTTCAGAAAAAATATGAAGTGACAGGGCAAAAAAAAAACAGGTCTATAGCCCTAGGCCTCCTCCTATTATAGCCCCAAATGCTACCTTAACGATGAAGTCAACACAAAAGGCTGGCTTAGAATTTAAAGAATGGATTTTGAACTTCATATGCAAACCACTGCATTGATAGATGGAAAAACTGTAGCAGCTACATATAGGATTAAAGGGCTGTTTGGGGCAAAATATAAATTTGAGTTGATTCAGAACCAGATTCTTTTTTTGCAAATCATTAAGTTTGACTACACCTGAACAGTAATTTTCTGTGATGACACACAAGGTTAATTTCAATGCATTGTACGTCGAACAGTAATTTTATAGTTTGCTACATTAAGAGAAACATCAGTTCACTTAGACCTTTCTTTGAATATGACTGTACAGTACTGATATCCACTGTCTTACAAAAACTTTTAATACATTGTAGAACTACATGTGTAAGTTAGCATCATGCTTAGATACCTACAAGACACAAATTACACCTGGTTTGCTTTATTGCACAATATGTCATATATTATTTTACACCATCCTCACTGGAATGAATTGGATTGTTTTTGCATGTCTGTAGGGCATTGATATTAACATAATTTATGCAAGTTTACTGATTGGTACCAAAATGGATTCTAAACTTTATATAAAACCGATTTTCAAATCATTTTTGTATCAGGCAATAACAATATTATTTAGTAATGTATGGTCTGAATAATTAAAAACAGATACAAATTACAACATAGATTTTTTTAAATTCAATTGCCCCACGGGTGGAAAAAAAGATTGTCTCCTTGCGATACTGTCCTTGGTGCTGAAAACATTATCATATGCATACAGGCACATGAAATAACATTGACATATGCAGTTCATGTAGAGAATGTACAATGTATTCTGACGTCTATCCTGCATCTAAATTGTACATTTTGTAACCTACATTTTTCCATGTGCTGGAATCATAATTATTGTTGTTTTTTTTTTTTTTGCTACATTGACTGTTGTCACCTTTGAAAGTATAAAAAGTACTGGCATACTACTCGCTTTCTATATATAGTAGCACGATTCATACTTCCTAAACTTTGAGTAGTGCAGATAAAAGTTGTCTGGTGCACTTTAGTTCCAATGTTCAGTGCAGGTATGCAGAAAAGGCCTTTTTGTATTTCAAGCAAGCCCAGTGTTAAAAGTGATTTTTTATTTAGTTTACCATGTGTGTTGTGTATTTATGTATGGTTACCACAAAATGTTATTCAAACAATTCTATGGTACACAAAATATTTTTTTTTTTCATTTAATATGAAGTTGAAGCAATAGCCTTGGACTATTTACCTTCGCCAAGAAGGTTATGTTTTCGTAGGCGTTCGTGTGTCTGTGTGTGTGTGTGTCAGCACGATAACTCAAGAAGGCTAAAATGGATTGTCTTGATATTTGGTAGGTGGATAGGTCTTCATGAGACGTGGAACTGATTAAATTTTGGGCCCCCTAGCGGCTTGTTATAGTACTGCAGCTGAACTTCCGGTTTTGATATCTCGTGATCTAGACATGCTAGGGTGACGAAATTTGGATGGTGGGTAGCTCTTGTGCTGGGGAAGAAGTGATGTGAGTTTGGTCTCCCTAGCGGCTTGCTCTGGAACTGCAGGGGCGTTAGTTGAAAAATATTTAAAGGCGGATAACTCTAGAACCGATTGATGGATCGTCGTGATTTTTGGCATGTAGGTAGCTGAAGTGATGCTTAACATAATAATATTATAATTATGCATATATTAATGTAATTTGCATAATTAATGAGGAAATTCTATAAATCAGCTGCATTCCATGATAGGACTATTCAAGCTTGTGACATATGTAATTAAGAACGGCAGAAATACAGGCAGATATCGATTATGCAAATGAAGACATAATTTGCATAATTAATGAGAAAATGTTATATTTACATAGTGGTAACTGCCTGGAATTTCATACTTGGGATATTTAAAAGTTATGTGAAGGTGAACATAATTAAGCATAACTTATTCAAATAAGGACCTCATTTGCATAATTTATGAGGAAATGCTTTAATGGCATTCTTTGATAAGATAAGACTGTCTTCTGGTGTAGAATATGATCAACAGATATAATTGATGCAAATATAGGATCCTATTTGCACAATCAGGGGGATTAATCTATAATTTCTTACTCATAAAGGCTAACATCATTTGGCGAAGGTATGAGATCGTGGAACTCTAGTTAAATATTTAATAATCATTCCTGCTTTATGATCATTCTACAACAGATCTACTAACTTAAACTGCATAAAATTATGTTCTATACATTAAACTGTTTTGTAAACAAGACTTGTAAGACATGATAGATAACTGATTAAAAAAGCAACCTACTAATAAGTCCTCTATGTGGTATGTCTTTTGCACTTGTTAATTATATACTGTACAATGTATCACTGCAACTGCATCATCGACATATTCGTTTAAATTGTTGTAGACTTGTACATATTAACAAATGCTTTTTTTCATAGAATTTTAAACCTAACTGTTAAATCTAAAATAGTCAAACAGTATAAAGACCATTTAGTGTAACACACCAGCTAACAGTCTTAACTATCAAGCTGAGTACGTGCATGTATTATGATCCTTGATATGGCCTTAGGTGTAATTTATACAATTTAAGGTAAATAGATGCTTGTCATCAGGAGTTAGTTTTTTGTCAGGGGTTGGTAGTAGGGCAAATGGTCCAGAGCAGCTGCTGGCTCATTTGCATACACAGCTGCAGCACCTGCAGCAGCACCTGCGCGGGGAGGGGGAGGTGGGGGACGCTCATCATCCGGAGCTTTGTTCCTGTTGGGTGGTTTCAGGGCCTTCTTTTTTGCAGGTTGCTTCGGACCTGTGCCCTTAGGTCTGTGTGTGCTTGGTGGCAGTTCTACATCTTCATACAGGTCTAAAGGCAGCTGTGGGACAGCCGACCTCTGAGCATAACTTGGGTTTGTCACATTCTGGGACCGACCCTGTCCTGTCTGACCATGACCACTGCTTACAGTAGCTGTGGTGTTTGTGTTGTTAAAAACAACACTTGTATCAGGACCTGGGGGAGGGTTCTTGGCCCTCCTCTTGCACCAGACCAAGAAAATGGTGATACAAATGAGAAAACTGGCCGCCACTGCACCAAGAACAGAGCCAAGGAGAACAGGCAGAGAGTAACTGGGACCAGAGATAGGGTTACTGTTGCTTTCAGGTTTGTCTGTGATATTCTGTGGTGTCATTGTTACAGTAGAGGGCATGTTTGGTTGGACATCCACAGACAGTGTTTGAAATGTTGAGCCAACAGGACTTGTCACAATACAGATGTACAGACCAGCATCTACTGCTGCCGTAACATCTGTAATGGTCACGGTACCGTTATCTGTCACAGTCACCCTCCCACCTGACTCTACTGTTACATTCAGTCCAGATGGGAGAATGACTGTGACGTCTGGTTTTGGGATCCCTGAGGATTCACAGACCAAATGGAGTGTATCCCCCTCTACCACTAAGTTGTTATAAACCTTCTCGAACCTGACAATCGTGGGATCTTCGCAAGTCAGGTCTTCCGGATTGATATCTTTTAGAAGTTGGCCAGAGTTTCGTGGATTAGTGCAGGTGATCTGGTTTTGGAAGAAAGGAGATCCAGTCATTTTCAGCCTGAAAGCAACCATCCTACAGTCACACTGCCATGGGTTGTTACTGATGTCTACTATAGAGATTGATGTCAGCTTGTCATAGGCTGTGAAGTGAAGTGTTGTTATGTGGTTGTTTTGAAGATAAAGTTGAGAAATTGAGGAAATCTCGGAAAATGCCTTAATAGGGAAAGTTTTCATGTTGTTGCCAGACAAGTACAAGCGTGAGAGACTTCCTATTCCTGTGAATGTGTTTGGAAAGATTTGCAATATGGCATTGTCATACAGCCATAGATCGCGAAGACTGGAAAGACCAAAGAACAGATAGTTTGGAAGCTCAGTGAGATCATTATTGAAGAGGTAAAGGGTATTGAGTTGAGTAAGTCCTGTGAAAGACATTGATGTAACTGTTGAGATTTTGTTTGTGTCAAGACGGAGAGTAGACAGTTTGGGCTGGTTTGAAAATGCGTTGGCAGGAATGTCTGTTATGTTGTTGTCGTGCAGATACAGAGTAATTAGGTCTGGAAGCTGATATGGTACGGTTGGAATGCTGGTTAATTGATTATTTTGCAGTTGAAGTTCTCGAAGTTGAGGCAAGTTTGAAAATGCACCAGACTGAATATGTGTTACCTGGTTTGAATACAAGCGCAAATATTGGAGCTGTGGTAGGTTGGCAAAGGCAGCATTTGGGATGGTGCTGATCTCATTGTCATAGAGACGAAGATAGACTAGTCCCTGAAGATTGGTGAAAGTATTAGGTGGAATAATTTTCACGTGACTACTGTAGAGATACAAGTACCGTAGCTGATTCAGACCATCAAAAACACCTTGTGGAATTGTTGTCAGGTTGTTTCCATATAGCTCAAGACGTTGTAACTGTGGAGTGTGACTGAATGTTCCCACCTCAATGCTACTGATGTCATTGTCATTTATGTAAAGATTTACCAAGTTCCTATACCTTGAGAAATCTAACTGACGTAAAGCGGTGATTTGATTATTTCTCAAGTACAGGGTAGTGATTGATGTTTGTAGGTGCTGAGGAACACTGGAGTAGCCCTGGCGGTCACAGTTGCAGGATGATGATGAACAGCTGCAGGCAGCATCTGTCATGTAAAACAGCTTCAGGATGATGGTCAGAAAAACCAGTATGGCTCGCAGCCTTCTTCCCATGTTGATATGTCACCTGTAAGACAGAAAATCTGATGTAACTTAAGGCAATACTCTTGTCAAAATAAAAACAGTCTTAGACAAGTTGACATTTGTACATGTTTTAATTTAGTACTTAAATTAACCATTACTAATCTTATATTGATTGTAGTGTTGTTAAAATTGGTTGTAACAGTTATAACATCAAAATGTACAATGTTAGTCTGTATGAGGTTGTGCAAAGTCACAGTTAACTAGAGACCATGATCTGGGAGCTAATTAATTACGTATTGCGCCATGTGCTACTGTCTAATACTTCTTCACAGATCGCTGGGTCTGGTGTACACTGTACTACTTATAGTTAGTAAACCCTAGTTATGACATACTACTAGTATTGGGCAGTGTGTAACATAATTAACTTTTTTACATTTCGCATGCGCGCCGAAATGTAATAAGACGGAATCTATCCTTCTTTCTTTGTTTCTTTCTTTCTTTGGTAGTTTGGTAACACTGCAGGCCATGCAATACCTGTTTACTTCTTTCCGGTTTGTGGTGTATGCAATAGACTTGCTGCCATTTTAATCCAGGCATGTTCTTTACAAAAAGAAACTTTATGTAGTTACATGTAGTACTGTAACAGTCTCATCTAGTGACATACCATTGATCGAAGTGTGGTTACATAAGTTTTTAGGCGCTAATTTATTGATCATACTACAAATCTAAAGATGATTGCATAAATTATGTTAATGACAAAAATAATGCCGCATGTCGCTAGATGTCGTTGTTGCATCTACATCTACATGCAAAGTATTATCTACATCTGCATTAAAAGTCCTTCTATGTTTCTCTATTATGTTTGCACTTATACGTTTGCCTGCTGCATTGTTCTTACTCAGGAATGTCAATACGTTTGATACTTACCCTTTTTAAAGACGGGCTTTCATGCTTCAATCATAATTCGTTCATCCTGCTCGGACCTGCCCAATTTTCTCGGATCGGTATGTATACTACATTGTATGTTGCTTAGGCAGTCAGACAATTACGTAATCAGATAGCTCAACGGGTAGCGATGCTGAGTGGCGGTGGCCGGGTTTGCACATAGCGAGTTTGATCCCCGGAGAGGAACTCTTTTTAAATTTTCTCTTTAACAGTTGCTGTTTTGCTTTTAACACTCAAAAACTAATTGTTCAAGTCCCGACGTATGAGTTTTTAAAATTTTCTTTTTAACATCCGCTGTTTTGCTTTTTAACATTAAAAAACTAGGCCTGCAGACATGCCGCATGTCGCTAGATGTCGTTGTTGCATGAAAAGTTCTCGCGAAGTTTCTATGTTTCTCTATTATGTTTGTACTTTTACGTTTGCCTGCTGCATTGTTCTTACTCAGGAATGTCAATATGAAACATTTGTTTTTTGTGTAGCATGTGCTGTCATCAAAATCGTCACAGTGCTGCAGGTTTCAAAATTGCAATTTTTCATCTACATGTATATATGAAGAGTTACATCGTCATATATCAGATGTGTTTTTTTCTTTAAGTGGTCTCGTACCAATTTCATCAACGGGTAATATCATTTCAACAACTTCTACCTCAATAACGGCACTGTAAAACCTTTGTCAGCCAAAATGTCAGCTTTTTTTAAAAGCACTTGTTTTAGTGATATGTGGAGTTTTGATGCATCAAACGTGATGTAATCTAACTTCATTCAGAGGGCATAATAGGCTGGTGTACCATGCACAAACTTTATGACATGATAGCAAATGTGTGTAGTAATTTAACTTCATAAGGAGGGCCTGGGGTGGGTGTATGATGATGAACAATACTGTTTGTTTTACGAAGGCAACATGTGATTTTATATAACACTGTCCAAATGGCACAAGTTGGCAAAGGGCACAGAATTCAGAATTTCACAAATACTGCACAGTGTCTATCTTGTGCAGATATAGATTGAATTTGTGTGTCACCGCACTTACCTTTTTGATATCTTTCGAGGAAGTTGATAGTTCCTGCCAGTAAAGCCTCTCAGCCAGGGTTTAGAGTGTAAGACTGGCACATGTAGCAGCTTCCACACTGTATAATTGTATGTAGGCATCATTTGCATGTTTGTTTTGCTTTTAATCAATATTTTGTATGTGATTTAATAGCAGCAAAGTCATTGAGTCATGGTCTTGTAAGACTGACGAAATGCCTACTATCCTACATTGAGTCATAATTATTATCATGATCACGGTATAAAGTGTGATTAAGTTATGGAACATGAAACACTTCATGAATTCCTTCTGACTTGTTAAACAATATAAAATAATGTGGACTAGTGGTGCAAATTTTAGATTTTTTGTAAAATTTAAAGCATATTTATAATTTATTGATACCACATAAATAAGCACTGGACAAGATAGGTTTGGATGCACCCATATCTGGACTGTTATCTTGTCCAATCGTACAAGGGATGTGACTCAAATTTGTCATATTTGCATTTCAGATCCAAAATACATATTTTTCACAGATTCTATGACTCAATCTACAGTCATGTAAATAATATTTGTACCAAAAGATTCTGAATTTGGTAAGTCCTGCTAGCCATGACTGTATTCCATGAGGAAGTAGTTTCAAAAGATTTAAAAGAAACTCTTCAGTTGTACAAAATTAAGCACACAGCTTTTGCTCTAAAGCAAGAAGGAGCTGAAAGTACAACCAGTGACAATAGAATGGGAACTAAATTTTGTTTTGTGTAATTTTGAAGAACCAAAAATTATAGTACAGTGTAGGTTCGAGGGTACCTAGTACATTGTAGTAGTATGAAACTCAGGTACAGATTGGAGTAATTTCTACAAAAGAGTTAGACTTACCTTTGAAACTGGAATACATTTAGATACAAACTGAAGTTCAACAGGTTTTCTTGCCACTGTGCTGCGAGGAAATAAACTTAAGGGAAAGTGTGAAACTGTTCCTACTTGTAGTTCCTGTTCTGTCAGGTGTTTTTTCCACCGCTGGTGGCTGTATGTAACAAACAACTTCAAACCAGTCTTAAAAGTTAAATATTGACCCAAGGACCATTGTCCTTGGGTCAATATTTAACTTGGTTGTGTTGATAGCCTTGATATCCAAATGCTATTGGATGAATGTTAATCTTTAACGTGCTGTTTTTTCCCCATGCCAGTTCTCATTTCCCGATTGAGGAAACTAAGGCCAGAACAATTTAATTTTTTGGTTCTCAGATTTTTTTAGATGAAATATGAAGCAACTGGGCGAAACAAAATATTGTATAAAAAGAGGTCCAGACATCCTCTTTGGCCCATATGCTACGAATAACCATAGGAGCCATGAAGTCAAGACAAAAGGCTGTGTTAATATTTAAAGAATGAATTGAACTTTTAATCAAACCACTGCATTGATAGATGAAAAAACTGTGACAACTAGGAAGGAAAGGACTTTCCTCAACTGTTGGAGGCAAAATATGAGCATATTTGAGTTGATTAAGAACCAGATAGAATCTTTTTTTTTTTGGAAATCAGAAAAAAAGGAAGAGGCAAATCCGAGAACCAACAAACTAATTTAAATTTGGTGTGGCTTTGTGTAAACACACCAGCTTCACAGGCACACAGCGTGGGGAGGGCGACTTAAGCTTGTAGATTCTTGTGCATACAAGGTAGCAGAACACAGTATTAATGGGCGACCCCCGGGGTCTGTGACGCGGGTATAGAAAGTAGTGCAGCGAATATTCTTGAAGGCTGGGTAGAAAGCCTGATCAGCCAGATGTAAATTGTGCTGTGTGGTGTAGGAATGTATCGGGTTGGAGACTGTGTGATTTGAATTGTGAAGGTTTAAAGTTCGTGTATAAATGCGCTGTATTGTGCAACTGGCTTTCCGGGTGAGTCGGCTGCAGTTCAGGTCACGTCCGTAGAGAGCGATTTAACATGTACGTTACGAGCAGATACGCCGACAGGATTTTTTGGTTTCTAGATATTTTGTAGTTTGTACATTCTTCTCAAACATATTCGATTTTCGTATTTGTGAAGTGCACCCTGCTATAATTTTTACTGCGTCGAAGTGAGTCATCTTGGGGTCCTTAACTATAGAAATCCCCATAGGGCGAAAACTGTGTTCTGCTACCACAATGTATATCACATGTTTTGCCCTCCCTTTTACAACACATTGTGATGAACATGAAATAATCAATTGATTTGCCTCAGTTTTTAATGCTGTACAAATTGTAATTAACACTGAAGTTTTTTTTGCAGGCCCAGTACATACGTGCAGATGCACACTACGCCTCAAGGTGTCTACCCAGAACCTTAGAGAGATGGAGATGGTTTGTGGGGTTGTCTCAAGAAAAGAAGGACAGGCAGCTGAGAGCTGTGACCTTCAGGAGGTGGGTAATCTTCATCATGTGATTTTCAATACATCTGAATTCACCCTGCGTGAAAATTATAATTTTTCTTTCAATTTTAGCAACTGTAACAGTTACAACATTGATTGTACAAAATGTGCGTTCAGAGATATAATTTTGATAAAAATTCTCTAACTGCTTTGAATTGATTAAAATCTTCACATTAAAAGATTGTTTTAAAAATATCATTGTCAGTACATCTCAAAATTTACTCTAACCTGAATATCTAGAACATTTTGCAGTGTCAATTTTTGAAAGGATGCAATTTTTTTCAACAAAGCATGTAACTTAAGGCTGTTACAGTTACTGTACAGTAGTAGTTATTAAGAAGCAAATTGTGCTCTGCTCAATCCAAATCAATCAGCTAATTTCTTCTGTCTGTATATTGTCATTTATTCCTAGTAATGTGTTAAAAGTGCTCAATGAATATTGTAAATCATGCGTTATTTTATATTTTGATACTTAATTTATCAGGGCTCAAAATTGATTTTTGGGAATAGGTGCACTGGTGCACCCAACCTAAAAAGTGAGGTGCACAATAAATTTTGTTTGGTGCACCATATAAAACAGAACCTAATTACAGATCTTACTGCTCCTCTTCTGAGCTTGAATCTGAAATGGGAGCTAACTCCAAAATTGAAACAAGTACTTCAAGGTAGATTTTATTATTTTCTGACACTTCGATGCCAATAATATCCTGCATACTATTAATATACAGTTGATATGTACAAAAATACCTACAAAATATACATTTGGGTGCACCAGTGCACCCACAGAAAAAAATTGGCTGCACAGCTCCAATTTTGGGTGCACAAGGGTGCACATGCGCCCAGTATTTCAAGCCCTGTATAATTATTTAATATTTATTAATATTTATATCCAGAGAGGCTCTACAGGCGAGGTTCTTCTATGGCTGGTGGACTGCCACACAACAGAGTAGGGACCTCAGGCTCATGGAAAGAATGGTAAAAATTACATTCATGCAGCTAAAATCCCTTTTTTTTGTGCACATTAAAGCTGCATTGTGCAACAGGATGATAGAAAGGTTCATTTTCTTGCCATTAATATGTCTCCCATGTTCAATTACATTCTTGTGTTACATTAATTTTGTACATTCTCATATTTTGTGATGGTGTCACAAAAAGGGTGTTCCTTGTGTGGGCTTTTTTTAGTGCCAACCATAAATGTCAGAAAGGGGATCTGCATGACTAAGTCAGTAAATGTTGAGAACTTCTCAAACTTATCACACATTAAAATAACAAGTTAAATCTTCTGATTGCACTTTTTGTTCAATTTTAACCGTTTTATTACAGATTATAATATTCAAAGTCAAATTGGCCGTCTTGCAAAAAAGGCATGCAGGACTCAATTGAAATTGCACTTGGAAGTACTTTGTACAATGTTACACCTAACAGTTGAATACACTTTCTTTCAGCACACACAAATATTACATGACAATGTATCTGAGATAGAAGTCTTTTTGTATTCAATACAATTGGATAATTGGTTCATTTGTTATCAATGGCAACTTGTTTCAATTTGGGAATTTGTTTAAAAAAAGGAAAACAGAAAGCAAATCTGTATCAAACTGCTTAGCTTTGCAAGATTGTTAGAATTTATTGCCTACATTGTACAAGCTCACTGAACAGAATATAGGGATCTACAGTAAATAATTATTAAAATTATGATAATGTTTGATTCTAGGCTATTTTGCATCACAATGGAGCAGTCATCAAGGCCCACCTCAAACTGTGGAGACTCAGAGCAAAGGAAGTTAGGAGAGAGCAGGAGAAAGAGGTAAAAATGGAATTTCTGTTTCTGAATAGAGGATCAAGGTACATGTGATTTCAGGACTGTGACTGTAAAACTGTTTTTTTTTGTCAATTTTCTGTTCTTTTTTCATGTAGTAAGTTGAATCAACTCTTAGACTATCCTGTAGCATACTGATATCTGACTGCGAGGAAAATATGCAATTATGGAAAATGTTTGCTTGTTTTGAATCCTTGGTTCTAGCTATTTATTGGTGTTAAACCTTTTTAAATAAATGCTAAGCCTTTTTAAAGGCTTAGCATGGTGACCAAAATGTGCTAAAAAATGGCAGTAAATGTCAATATCAGACATTTTTCCTCATATGGAATACTTTTTGTTTTGCTGACCAGAAATTGCATTTATTAGTTGCTTTCAAGTTTCTACAAGTTAGGCCATGTTGATTTGATTATAATAAAAATTATGGATGACATCCGCGTCCATTTCCAAAAAAATGTTTTCGTCCATAAAGTAAATTGTACAAAATGAGTGAATATACATGTATGTCGTATGTTGCAAAAAAAAAAGTATTGAAAAACGATACTACATATCATGGAATGCCAAAATCAATTCAGGAAAAGAAGAAAATGTAAAGAAATGAAAAGGAAGAGTCTATTATTATCCTCTATTCAACCTTAATGACCAGATAGATTTGATAATGAAGGAAACTTTTTTTGGAACACTTATTTTTTTTAATTCGCATGCTCGTTTCAGTTTCCGAGTTCCCAGAGGATGTCATCCATATAATCAAATCAACATGGCCTTGTTTAAGCAACTGTGTACTTGAAAAGCTCATGTCCCATGTACTGGTTGACTGCCAATGGGTAATATTTACTGATATCAACACAGATGTCCTTGATGCTGAGTCCAATAAGACACATGGAGATGAGACATTTAAGCTTAAAAGCCTGAGTGTTGACATGTTGTAATTATTATCGCTGATTGTGACGTTGTTTTAATTGATGACTGTCCTTGGTGCTGATCTGCTATCTCACACAAAAAAAAAGTTATAATACAGCTTTAGATAACTGAAATTCATTGAAAGGGGTCTGTATCAGTCAGTAAATATTGTCATGGGGCCACACCAATTTAATTTGTTGGTTCTTGGATTTTTTCAGGAAAAATATGAAGCAACAAGGAAAAAAAAACAGGTCTAGGCACCCTATTATAGCCCCAAATACTAAATAGGAGCCATGAAGTCAACATAAAACGATGGGTTCATTTTTAAACAATGAATTTTGAACTTTTAACAACCCCACTGCATTGATGGATAGAAAAACTACATGTATATATCAACTAGGACGAAAAGGACTTCCCTCAATTGTTGGGGGCAAAATATGACCTTTTTTTTAGTTGATACAGAATCAGAATCTTTTTTTTTCAAATCAGAAAAATATCAAGAGGCAAATCTGAGAACCAACAAATTAAATTAGTGTGACCTGAAAAATAATCAGTTCCATCTTCTGATTTTACTACTACAACAGTTACTACTCTAGTAAAAAATGTTGAATTTTAAGTGTTTTAAAACAGATTACATAATTAAGTGAAATAAGCTGATTATATCTTGCAAACAAGACATGCACGCCTCCATTGAAGTTGCATTTGGAAGTACTATAACAGTTACAGTAACTGTTACAGTACATATGTATTCAACATTAACAGTTGAATACTAGTAATATCAAGAACTAGAGTTCCCCGATCTCATACCTTCGCCAAATAATGTTAATCTTTATGAATGACATATTATAGATTATTCCCCCCCTGATTTAACGAAATAGGATCCTAATTTTAATGAATTCTATCATTTTATCAATTTCTCAACCAAAAGACAGTCTTATATTAACAAACAATGCCATTCTAGCATTTCCTCATAAATTATGCAAATGAGGTCCTGATTTGAATACATTATGTTTAATGATGTTCACCTTCACTTAACTTTCAAATACCACAAGTATGAAATTCCAGGCTGTTATCATTACATAATTATAAAATTTTCTCATCAATTATGCAAATTAAGTCCTCATTTACATAATCAATATCTGTCTGTGTTTCTCTCGTTCTCAATGACCAATGTCACAGGCTTCAATAGTCCAACCATGGAATGAAGCTGATTTATAGAATTTCGCCATAAATTATGCAAATTACATCCATATTTGCATAATTGTCAAATAATTATATCAAGCATCACGTCAGCTACCTACATACCACAAATCACGACGATCCATCAACCTGTTCTTGAGTTACATTGAGTTGAATATTTTCAAACAGATAGCCCTGCAGTTCCAGAGCAAGCCGCTAGGGGGCCAAAACTCACGTCACTTCTTCCCTAGCACAAGAGCTACCTACCATCCAAATTTCGTCACCCTAGCATGTTTAGATCATGAGATATCAAAACCGGAAGTTCAGCTGCAGTACCGTAACAAGCCACTAGGGGGTCCAAAATCTAATCATTTTGAGGTCTCATCAAGACCTACCCACCTACCAAGTATCAAGACAATCCATCAAGGCCTTCTCAAGTTATAGTGTTTACAGACACACACACACATACACGAACGCCTCTGAAAACATAACCTTCTTGGCGAAGGTAATTAATGTAACTGGTGGACGTCCCAACTACTGAGTACAAAATGTACCTAGTAGTACATGTAATACCAGCCCAGAAGAGAACAAGAAATAGCCATGCCTTCAAGTACCAGAGTTATCAACCAAGGATTGAGGTGTTCAAGTTAGAATTCATTCTTTCCTAGATCTATAGCAGAGTGGAACTCGCTGTGACCAAGTACAGTAAGGGCATTGTCATTCGATAGCTTTAAACAATGTCTAGAGTTAGATGTACAAGGGTTGGGTGTAACATGTCGTTCGGTGTAATGTAGCCAGCTGCCGCCACGCCGTGTGCCTGCAAAGCTGGTGTGTTACGCCGAAGGGCGGTTATACTGGCTATACAGATATAGAAGCTGGTGTGTTATGCCGAAGGGCGATTATACCGGCTATACAGATACAGATTGTGTACTTGACTTGAACACACGCAAAGGATGTCCTTGGTGCTGATCTGCTATCTCACATTGATGAATGTATATTAAATTTAAATATTAAACTTTCCAATCTCAGGAGGTGGCTGTACAACACTATAAGTACCATCTCTGTCTGAAGGCTGTTCAACAGTGGAAGGACTTCACACTGGAAAGCATCACCAGGTAAACTGGAAAAAAAAAACACACACCTTGTATTGGATCTGTAAAATAGATACAGTCCATCTTGTCTAACAGGACCACCGCGGAAACCAAGGAAATGTATTCTTAAGTGGTCTTTTTATAAAAAATATACTTTCAAATTGACAAGATCAGGAGACACACAACTTTCAATGTCCATAATTCGTTTATAGATAATATTAAAATATGTTCAACCTCATTCAGTCAAGACATTCATGTTCATTCCCTATAATTATACTGAGAAAAAGGAGTTGTCATGGCCTGATAGTAGGTTTATAGAGGTGGTCGCTGGTGGAAATTTGACTATAGCTTAATGGAAAAAAAATGAAAAGAAAATCATTAACAGTGATATTTGCGAAAATAAAGAACGTCAAGTCAGTTTTACCTGTACAGTGTTTTTGGTGATGCCTCTGGGACAGAGGTGTTTTTGAAAAACCTTAAACAGCCTTCAGTTTAATTCTGGACTTCCAGTTTAATTTGGGACTACTTCCCATATTAACTTTACATCTACATGTAGATGGGCTGATATTATAAACTATAGGTAAAATGATGTTAGAAATATGTAGTTAGCCATCCAGGACCCCTTTGGGATTAACCCAATTCTTCTGTAGAATTCTAGAGCTGTAGCCAGAATTCTGCAAAATTCTGGGAACTGCAGCCAGAATTCTGAAGAATTCTGTGCAAAATTCTACAGAATTGGGTTAACCCCCAAGGGGTCCTCAATGGCTGCTACATATTAAATTAATAATATTTATTTCTTAGTAATATTTACTTATACATACACATTTAGTTTACAATATTGGTCCATCTAGATGTAAGGTTGCTGAGGTATGGGAATTAGTCCAGTATAAAACTGACAGTCCAGAATTAACTTGCCCCAGAGGCATAACCAAAATCACTCTTGCAAGTAAAACTGACTTGACGTTCTTTATTTTGGCAAATATCACTGATAATGTTTTTCTTTTTACTTTTTCCATTAAGCTACAGTGACAAACTTTCACAAGTGACCACCTCTATGTCTGGCCATGACAAAAGCTTTTTCTCAGTCCTAAATTAAACTGGAGGCTGTTCTTACCACCACAATTTCAGACAAGAACAGGACAGACTGGCTCTCCGGCACCAGTACAGAAGACAGTTGAGAAGAGTGTGGACAGGCTGGACACAGTACCTGGACTACAGGAGGTCCAAACTGCAGAGGAAAGCAAGAGGAGACCAGCACTACCAGAAACACATCCTAGGGAAAGTCATGCAGGCTTGGAAGGTACAAAATGATTGTACTTCTTATAACCCACTGATTTCTAATATACTATCATTTTTACCTCCATGAAAAATGGAGGACCTGGTATTGTTTTTAGCCTGTCTGTGTATCTGTGTATCTGTCTGTCTGTCTGTGTGTTTGTATTTCCGCACATTTGCAGTCAGCATAATTAATGAGTTACATGTTGAAATGAAGCATGACAAAGGAGAGGAATTTTACACGCAAAATATTGTCATTTAAATTCAGAAAACCATAAATTAAACTAGATTATGCTAATTACGACCTCATTTCCATAGTCAATGCGACAAATAAAACAAAAACTCATATATTTCATGAAGGTATGAGATCTACGAATTCTTGTTTTTGTGTTGGTTTGGGTTTGAAGTTTCAAATTTTTATGGTGTTTTCTGTTAAATCTATCTAATATGTATAGCTGATGATGCCCCTATATATGAAGCAAGTTTAAACTGTAATTTTCAACACAAGAAATTGGACTCACCCAAATTTTCAACTGTACAACTGTTACAGTACTCCTTTGTCAAGGAATGAGCAATCCCGCTTCCGCGACGTCACGCAGATAACACACGTGACTCCGTGAGCAGTGGATCATTGGTCACAGAAAAACTTTACAGTTTTAAACTTGCTTCAGAATGATTTCTACCAACACAGATGAACTTTCAAGATAAAGTAGTACTACGTAATGCATTGTAGTCAACATTGAAAGAAGGATGTCATTACATGCATCTGCCAAGAAAGCAACTTGGGTTATATATTTAAAAGAAACTTTTACATTTTGATTCCACTGAATTACTCAAGCTACAATATCTGTATAGCCAGTATAACCTAGCCTGGGTGCCATTCCCAGTAGTATATTCGCCAGCTCTATAACTGGGTCTGGACTTGATGACATATGTAGCGTCTGGAGTCTGGATATTCGTTCAGATTTTGAACGAGCGCGCTGATTGGTCCTACTCGTCTAAGTCCTTTTTGGGGTATGTACATATTAGGTAAGGGCCGTTCGGACGTCCGAACGGCGACGTTAGCGTCCGTTCGAACGTCCGAACGCCTTATCATCAACATGTCCGACGGCGAACCGAACGCTAAAGCGCACATGATATAGCCGTAGTCAGTCTTTCCGCGATAAATCATCAACATGGCTGACGCACGAGCCGCTCAGCTCAGGGAGGTTGATGTTGACCTCGCAATCACGTCCGTTTTGGACGATTTAGACGGAATATCGTCGCTCAAAAATGAGCAAAAAGATGCATTGAATAATTTCGTTCGTGATGTTTTGGGCGTCCTACCGGTAAAAAAAAAGAACGCACCGAGAAAATGAACACTCGCGAAGATCTGTGTTTACAAAACAACAAACATCACTTGAATAATGCAGGCGCGCCATTGGCCGTCGCCTCTGAGGCTCACCCAATCAAATGAAGCCCCGCTAGCGCTGCTCGGGCTAGCTCATTACGTGACGTCATCACCAATCGTTTCATATGTGATCAAGTCCAGACCCAGTTATAGAGCTGGCGACTATACTACTGGGGATGGCACCCAGGCTAAGTATAACCGCCCCTCAGCATAACACACCAGCTATGCAGGCACGTGGCATGGTGACAGCTGGCTACGGCTTGTTACACCTATTAAGTACAATCATGTAGTCTCAGCATGTTCTACATTGTGTAACTCTAAGCATTTTTAGACCAGATACCACTGATACACCAGATACTTACTTGGCAAATGCATCTGAGGAAGAAGACGATTTTAGTCTGTATGTACATGTATGTACAACACATTGCTATGATTTTAATGTAGCCAATAAAAACTTGATGTGCCATTATACATTAAATGTTTTCTACACACAGTTGTTTCATGGGCAAGCCAAGAGAGTCAACGCACAGGTTCAACAAAGAGTTCACAATCACAACATTGTCACTCTCAGGTAACAGTATATGTTTGTCACAGTCTGTTGTGTTAAATTTTCATCATTATGCAAATTTTGTGTATCTGCATAGGCAGACTGAGAATAAATACCCTTAGTTTGGCATAACACACTATCTTCTATTCTGTATACAATGTACATGTACATGTACATGTAGCTTTAAGCACATTTGTACACATTAATTTTCCTTCAGCATAACACACCATATGCTACAGTACATGTATCATTCTGTATCTGACAGTGTATAGCCTTACGTTATTTTGTAACTGCCCTTCAGTGTAATACACAGTCTTCTGTATCTGTTTTTGTATAGCTGCACTTCGACATAACACACCAGCTTCTGTAAGTTGCTAATATTTATAATTGTTGATATAACTGCCCTTTGGCATAACACACCAGCTTCTGTAACATAATTCTGAATCTGTATAGCCAGTAAAACTGCCCTTCGGTGTGTGTAGTGGGTATAACTGCCCTTCAGTGTACTACACCAGTTTTAATGTATAGTATTACATGTAGCCGGTATATAACATACCAGCTTTGCAGGCAGGTGTTATGTTAGCAGCTGGCTATATTACACCAAACGACCCATATCACCTGAAATGCGGTCTTTCTTTTTTTAGTTGGGCACTGGCAACATGGCATGAGAATGTGAGGACAGAAAGACAAAACCAACACAAGGAAAGCCAAGCTCAGAAACACAGGGAAAGGCAAATGATGAAATTGGTAAGGGACAAAATATGAAACATTTCAATCTTTAAATCAACCTGTATCTTTTTTTAAAAGGTGGACAGGTCAAAATATTAAATGCACTTCGGCAGCTTATTGTTATTATCAAGTTGAACGTAATTTCTGTGTTTGTTTCGAATAACCAGTAAACTGCATTTAGGCATAACACACCAGTTTTGTACATGTAAGTAAAATGTACAAGCTGTGAAGACCAGAACCGTAAGGTTTGAACCACATCACACTAGGAATGACTCTTACTCTTTTCGATAAGTGTGATGGGTTCTTTAACATAGGGTGTGGCTCTCCACAAACCCTCCATTTAACGTCCTATCCGAGGGACGTCCCTAACCAACCGAGGCTAGGTACTCATTTCCACCTGTGAGTGAAGTGAGGAAAGTTGACTGTAAAGTGACTATTCTTAGAATGCATGCACAAGATCAGTGACATGGTAGGATTCGAATGCAGGACATCTTGGTTCTGAGCTGAACACGCTATACTGATTATGCCACACGACCCCACTTATAATAAGTGAGTGTAAATTTGCTCAGACTCTGATTTCTTTGGTGAGAAATCTTGGCTGTTTTGTGTTTAGGTTTTCAGGACCTGGCATGAGCACTCAGTGATGCATGCTTACAAAAAACAACAGACTGAACAGAGAGTTACAGAAGCAAGGGCTAAGTTGGACCAAGGTTTGATTCCTCTTCATGCTAAGAGGATTGTATCTCATCATCTGTTCTTTTTTTTCATATTCTTGCAATTGAAATTCGTACATGTACATGCAATATGTAAGTACAAGCTGCAAAGACCGGAACTGTAAGGTTTGAACCACTCACACTGGGAAGGATCCTCTACCTATTATAATGCAATGATTGTATTACACACGATTAGCCACTCTGTGTCAAAACCCTGTTGAGTTTACCTCATGAATGAAATATTACATGTACATGTATGCCAAGTTTAGAAATACTCAAACTTAATTGTGATAAGTATCCATGACATTGTATTTCATGTGTAGTAACATGTATTTGCCAATTAACAATTTATATATAGAAAAACCTATAACATTGTAACCGGTGCAATGCAATTTCGTATACTAGACTGAGTATGCCATGGGTTTAGATCTGGACTTTTAAGTGTGTATTTGCTGAAAAAAATTTTAACATTCTGCAATATTGCAGAACATTGAAAAAAGTATGTCTACCACTGAATTTAGAATGATTAACATTGTATTTCCCTAGTTTTAGAATTTTAGATAGCAAAGAAAAATTCACATTCCTCATGAAACTTGATAACCCTCATACTATAAGCTCCATCTGTATGTTCTTACATACAAATTACTGTCTTAAGAAGCGAGAAGAAGCAGAACCTGTACATATGTAGTTTTGCTATAGATATATTTTAGTCTACCATTGCTATTTACCATGACCTGTACTTAGTTTGCAATGAGCAAAAATGTACAATAAAGGACTCTTCAATTCATTCTTTCTTCACTTGACCTTCCAGCAAAGCTGAGGAGAATGTTGACCACATGGGTGCAGCATCATGACATGTTGAGGCAGGACCAGAGGCAGGAGCGGACAGCAGACCTGCACTACAGACAGCACTGTCTGCACACTCACTACCACGCATGGAGACAGTTTGTGGCACTGTGTCTCAGAAAAACAGTACGTACATTAGTGTTGGAAACACCTGTCTGCAGTCTGCAATCTGCAGTTAGATTTTCAAGATTGCAGAAGAAAAATTCATACAATCTGTAATTTTGCAGCAGGAAAAATTGGCACTTAAGTGGGATTTGGCACTCCTGGCCCTAAGGACAGACAACACTGAAATTCTTCACTTATTTGCATCAACCTTGTCTTGACTTGTCTATCTTTAATGTTGCTTTTTGCACTTCCAAAATTTGTCTTCACTGATTTTCATATTAATCAATAGTTCATGCTTATAAACCTGCAAGATTGTAGTATAGAGGCTTGTGTATTTGCAGAAAGTATTTCCAAATTGCAGAACAAAATTTTGACTCTTCTGCAATATTGCAGAGCACTGAAAAAAAGTATTTCGACCACTGCACATATAGAATACAACACGGGGTATTCCGTATCGACTGAGGTATCAGCCCGACCGCGGGTCGGATCGCCTGACGGCTGCAGGCCGGAGGGAGATCCGACTCGCGGGAGGGCCGTGACCGAGCGTAGTTACTATGTAGTACTACAAAATTGTAAAAAAATCAGCGTTATTCAGCTTGGTTGACTTGTGCACTGGCTGCAAGGCTGATTTTATTAATAAAACTTGAAACTTGATGCGGAATCTTCTGTTTGTCATACCCACCCAAGAAAACACGCCTTTCAATTCAAGATGAGCCAAACGTTGGTGCCACTTAACTCTAAAATGTAGCAACATCAATTCCAACGTCCGGATTCTGTATTCAAATTTTGGAAAGGGGCACATGCGGTTAGGGCGATATGCGTTAGAACCGTTTTATGGAAGCTGTGGAAGCGTTAGATAACGGGTTCTGGACCGTACTTTACGGTATGGTCTGGTCCGGAACCCTTTATTGAACGTTATCGTGGCCCGGGTATGATATAATGCTATATATAGTATTAGGCCACACCAATTTAATTTTGTTGTTTCTCGAATTTTTCAGAAAAAAAATTACAAAAAATAAAAACAGGTCTAGGCAGTATCATACATGTAGCCCCAAATGCTACCATAGGAGCCATGAAGTCAACAAAAAAGGCTGGGTTCATATTTAAACAATGAGTGTAGAATATAAACTGGGAATATAAATCTTAAGTATTTACAAATATTTGAACTTTGGAAAAAAATGTCAGCACATTGCAATTTTTTCCAAATTGCTATAATTTCTCAAACTGTTTGAAATTAAACGACTATCTTTTTAAAATAATTTTGTTTTGACTTTATGACAGCTTTTGAAGAGGCAGTCTGAGTGGCTGTGCAGGACTCGGCTCACAGCAAAGTTTTTCCATCTCTGGAAACACCAGGTACAAAGTAGATACATACATTGTAAAGTTAACAGTACTAGTTTAAGAAATGCTGCTTGGTGAATATACAAGTTTAATTACATGGTGTACACAAGTTATGCAAATAGTAATTGTCATAAAGCATTTGGACTTCTGCTGACCTCTGATTATATTTCTTAAAATTAATGTATAATTCTATTTCAGTCTACAAGATAGTCTACAATAGACTGAACAGCCCAAAATTTCTATCATTCCTGTCCTTGGTGCTGAATTACTAACTAGCAGTTTACGCCCCTAAGATTTGTTCATTTTCAACTTTTGAAAGGGTTAATGATGGAGTTTTGGTGTGTCTAGCACTAAACAGTATTACTTAACTATACTCTGGTTAGCCAGAAATATTTATTTTTTGTTTAAAATCATGTCACAGTTAAAGTTGGCAAATGATGAAATTTGTATTTCATCATGATTTTAAGTTTTATCGAACATATGGAGTTCTGCTGACTTCTGCTTAGTTTTCTTAAATGTACATGTATAATTCTATTTTTATCATTCCTGTCCTTGGTGCTGAATTACTAACTTACAGTTTACACCCCTAAGATTTGTTCATTTTCAACTTTTGAAGGGCTTAATTATGATAGAGTTTTGGTGTATTTAGCACTAAATAGTATTACCTGTACTTAACTATACTCTGGTTAACCAGAAATATTTTATTTTTTCTTTAAAATCATGTCACAGTTAAAGTTGGCAAATGATGAAATTTGTATTTGATGACTATTGTATGGTAAAAATAATCTTTTAACAACTCATGATTTTAAGTCTTATCGAACTTTTGAGTTCTGCTGGCTTCTGCTTAGTTTTCTTAAATGTACATGTATAATTCTATTGTTATTATTCCTGTCCTTGGTGCTGAATTACTAACCTACAGTTTACGCCCCTAAGATTTGTTCATTTTCAACTTTTGAAGGGGTTAACGATCATAGAGTTTTGGTGTATTTAGCACTGAATGATATTTCCTGTACTTGACTGTACTGTAGTTAACCAGAAATATTAATTTTTTCTTTAAACTTATGTCACAGTTAAAGTTGGCAAATGATTAAATTTATATTTGATGACTATTGTATGATAAAAATAATCTTTTAACAACTCATGATTATCGAACATATGGAGTTCTGCTGACTTCTACTTAGTTTTCTTAAATGTACATGTATAATTCTATTGTTATCATTCCTGTCCTTGGTGCTGAATTACTAACCCTTTACGCCCCTAATTTTTGTTAATTTTCAACTTTTGAAGGGGTTAATGATAAAGTTTTGGTGTATTTAACACTAAATAGTATTACCTGTACTTAATTACTAAACTCTGGTTAACCAGAAATGTATACTTCTTCTTTTAAATGATTGTCACAGTTAAAGTTGGCAAATGATGAAAGGGAAAAGACGACCCAAGCCCTGTGGCACTGGAGTGTGTGTCTCCAGTACAGAACCCTGCAGGCCTGGCTACACTACACGGCAGACAGGAGGAGGAGGGCGGACAGGATTGCCATCGCCATGGAGACCAGGAGGCGGAGACTGCTGAGGGAGGGCGTGGCCCAGTGGCTGGCTATGGCCACCGACATGGCCGACATGAGATCCAATATGGCGGCCCAGAGACAAGCCGAGGTATTTATTGATTGATTGATTCAGCTGTACAAAGGACAAGCTGTTTTTGAAAAAGAGTATGTATATACATGTACCTTGCTGAATGTACTCACCATCATCATACATATACTTACACACGTCTGTTAACCTTGCATTTTTTGGTTCAATCCAGGTAGCGTATGGTACATTCCAGATAGTGCGTAAATGTGCCATGAGATGGAGGGAGAAGACACTGGCTGGGCGACGGAATTTAGGTAAATCAGATATTTTTGTACTGATTTACTGAGTGTCCACTTCTCACCTTGAATATCCTGTATGCTATTATACATTTGGTGTGTACAAATAAAATACCTTTTGCACGGGTTTTAACCGTGTCTTACACAACTTTCACACAGCTCTCGATTGCAATTCAAAAACGATTTACATGAATTTTGCACCAGAAGTGCAGGACTAAAGACTGCATGTATAACTGGTAATCAACATTTCTAACTGTGCATTATCAATAATCACCAGTCCTATATAAATTATAATAATGATATATTATATTATATTACATGTAATTTGTTCAGTTTAGTGGGCAAGGTTATAGTCTTTCTTGTACATAACTCATGTAAGTTAAATGAGAATTGTGAAGTGATGATCACATTTACAACTAGAAATAGTATATCTACTAAATGTTTATAATATACGCATCTTCATTTTCTACAGATAAGGGGCTCAACAGAGGGGGTAAGACTGCACCTGTAGTTAAGGATGTTTCTTCTGTGACCAGACCTACCCCATCTGTAGCCTCCCCTGTAAGACCAATCCCTGCAGATGTTACAAGGGGTTTGCAGGTTGTTGACAGGTCAGTAAATAATAAATGTATCTTGAAATATTTTCTAAATATTAAATATGTTTTTAAGGTTACAGTAAATTTGAACTGCTGAGTACTTTTTGCAGCAATAATCATTTGTAACAGTCCTCGTGCAAGACAATCAAAGATTGCAGACTAAAAGACAAAAATAGGTAGGACGTATGACAATACTGTATGTCAAGTACAATGTATATTGGGAACTGCTGAATCACACACATATGCAGACAGAGACACACAGACAGATACAGGCAGATACAGACACATACCTACACATACATGTACCTCACATACATGTACGTGCATATGCACACACAATTACATCTACATACACACAGACACACACACAGAAGGAAACACACACACAGGCAGACTGACAAGCCCAAATGTGAGAATCAATTATTTTGACAGTGATATGAGAGTTAAAACAATCTGCACAAGGTGGGCCAGTGGCCTGTACATATATCTACAAGCATGTACTATATATATATATATATATAATAAGGCCAATTACCAATTTAATAGATAAATAAGTAAAATCGGTCCGGGCTAGCCGCCCGATTTGATGATGATGAATAAATAATTGTTGGTTCGCCTCTTCATTTTTTACTGATTTGCAAAAAAAAAAAGAAATTCTAGTTCTGAATCAACTCAAATATGCCAGCCTGATATTTTCCCCCAACAGTTGAGGAAAGTCCTTTTCTTCCGTGTTGTTAAAGTTTTTCCATCTATCAATGCGGGCTTATAAGTTCAAAATTCATTGTTTAACTATTAACCCATCCTTTTGTGTTGACTTCATGGCTCCTTTCGTAGCATTTGGGGCAATGATAGCATGCCTAGAAATGTTTTTATTTTTTTTGCCCTGTTGCTTCATGTTTTTTCTGAAAAAATCCGAGAGCCAACAAATGAAATTGGTGTGGCTAATAAATATATGGTCAAATACATTGTTTTTATCATGCAGGACGATGGCAGGACCTTATACTGGCAGGAGGGATAGACCCAGACCTCGACATCCAGACTTCCTGGCTGACTCACTCAAGAGGGAGGGACTTCTGCCTAAAGTACCCCGCAAGATGGACAGGTGGGGCTTCCACTGTGTACTGATAGTCAGGTTCTACTGTATATACTAGTATTGTTCTAGAAATACCACCAGTCCTTCATAATGTTAGGTAAGTGCAGGTACATGTAAGATTGAAACTGTGCAGGTACATTGTACATGTATTTCTGATGTCTACCTGCATCTCATTAACCTGCGCCCCTGTCCTTGCAAGTATACTAGCCTGTTTAAATTCATGATCATGTACATGTAAGGTTTATGTGGATTTTTATTTGCTGCATTGACTACCTATGTGTAAAAATAAATAATGGCAATGGTTTCAGAACAGTTTTTAGTATGATAATTACGCTACCTAAATTCTGAGATCTGCCTGGTTCCGGTAATTTTTATTGTTACTTACATCAATTCAGGCAGGTATGCAGAAAAAATATTTCAAGTGCTGTACATGCATGTACCTTTTGGTATTGACAAGGTATCTTACCTTAGTTTTTTCTGTGAGTTTGTGTGTATGCTTGTCCAGCAGAGTGGTTGGTTAGTCAGGTACTTGATTGATTGACAGGAAGGCTGTAAGTGGGTGATACATGGAGAAATTCAGGAAGGGGTTGACTATGTAGTAACCAATCAAATTGCATCATACAATCCCCCTCTACACCAGCTGCAATTAATACAAATGATTAACAGCTCTACTTTTCATATCACAGCAGGCCCATCCCTACACCATGCTACGCACCAGACCAAGATCTGTACCTACAACAACAGGGGAACAACATAGTACAAGTCCCTACTGATATTGCTGATCAGCTCACCAGCACAGATGAGACACCTCCACCAAAGAAACCACCAACTCTTCCCACCAGAGACCCTTCAATAAACGACAAGACATCAGGTTCATTTCAGACTCAAGCAAGAGTGACGGACACAAGGCGCTGTCCTGCTGACAAAGATCATGATCTTGAAAGCACTCCTAGTTCCAGACCAGGGCCTTTTCCTCCACAGTCACTCACAGGAATGACTGAACCTGAAAACGCAATCCAAAGAGAGAAGATGCCATCCAGTCCACCAAGAGGAGTCAAAGCAGTAGAAGAATATGAGCTCATTCCACCATCAGCATTCATGGTACCAAAGACCGACAAACAAGTTGCAAATCAAACAAGCCCCAAACAACTGCAAGGAAAGGATTCAACTCTGATGCCCCCAGCAGTGTTCACAAGTCCAGGAAAAGAGGACAGTGTGGAAGATGCTGAGACAAGACGGGTATCGTATACAGATGGACAGAACGAAACAGAGGAAAAAGGAGGAGACAGAAGTAGTCACCCACAAAATGGACAGAAAACTGTGCTGGAAGAAATGCTGCACATTAAGGAAGCCATGCAGAGGTACAAGGAAAACAGAAAAAGACTCAAGTAAGTAAGACTGAAAAGGTGTGTGTGGAACTTGAAATAAAGTTTAATCTTTCCTTTTCATAAGGATTATAATTACATGTGTAGCACTTGACTGCTTATTTTATAAGATCTGTAATTCAGTGATGATTGTAAAGTGTCAGTACTCTTTCATTTAACTTTGTTATGGAATGCAATAAATATAATGATTTACATAATAACAAAGCTATTTAAATTTCTGGAATCAAGTATAACAGATTTCAAGAGTCTAGATGCTAGAGACAGATTTGAGTATATCTTTTCATGTAATGATTCCCACAATGCGAAAATAGGTAGATATATAAAATACTGCATTGGTATCGGAAAATATACCTAAACTCATGAAACTTGATTGTAACACTTCAACAAAGACTTGTTGAAGTGCCCTTATTGTTTGAGTAATTAAGATATGTTGGGTTTTAGGATATGTTAGGTTAGACGATTTTAGACACTAAACAAGACTATTTCTTGAGAGGGGTGAAGGAAGCCATATACATCAGGGCCCATCACCCTACATTGAACCGCGACGGGGGTCAACATCATCTCCCAGATACCTTTGACCCAGTGTTGACGTCACACTTCAAAGAAGCCACGTGACAAGCTTCACTGGATCAGTCTACTGAGGAAGACCAGAGTGACTGGTCGAAAGCTCTAGGTGAGAGAATTTTTTGTGTTGGAACAAAAGTTTTAACTTTAAACACTTCTTTATTATTTGATTTCAGGAGGCTTGAGCAGCACTACAAGCAGCTGTCCTCCTGGTTGAAGCAGCAGCAGCATGTGGAGGGACAGGCTGACGAGGTCCTCCAGCAGGTCAGGCTGGAACTGCAGGAGGTAGGTTTTTCCAGGAAGTTGAATAGAAGGAAAGCAGACATTTTTTTTTCTTTTGGTAAACCTTAGGCCACACTAATTAAATTTGTTGGTTCTCTGATTTTTTTTAGAGGAAATATGAAGCGACAGAGCGAAAAAATAAAAACAGGACCAGGCATCCAATTATAGCCCCAAATGCTACACATGTACCATAGGAGCCATGATGTCAACAAAAAAGGCTGGTTAGTATTTAAGCTATGAATTTTGAACTAATAATCAAACCACTGCATAAAGAGATGAAAAAACTGTCACAACTAGGAAGAAAAGGACTTTCCTGAACTATTGAGTTGATTCAGAAGCAGAATCTCTTTTTTTGTTTTTTGCAAATCAGAAAAAAATGGAAGAGGCCAATCCGAGAACCAACAAATTAAATTGGTGTGGCCTTATCATATATGTCTATCTATGGACCTATTGTATTCAATCTGACAGTATGTATTTTTTTCGTGTGACATGTTTCACTACAGGGAATTGTATGGGACACTGACAGGAAGTGTACATGTAGGTCTAAGGTCCCAGAATGTGTCAATGGTCATCTCATTTCCTGCCTTAATATTTCCTGATATTGCAGCCTCCCTGACATATTATTTGATCATCACCATGTACAATGTGGATTTGGATGTTTTTACAATAATCAATGAAGAATAAGCAGCAAGAAACTTGTAATAAAAAGTTTTTAAAGTATATGTGCATTCTGAATACAGTTGACAATAAGATTCTGGATATAGAGCACTATTGATATTTTCATTCATTCATTCTTTATTTCAGGTAAAAACCCATATAACACATGTACAATACATCATTAAAATAATACAAAAAACTCTACAGACATTTAAAAAAAAACAGAAAGAAACCTTAAAGCATTAAAAATGGTAGGTCTTCCAAAAGAATGAATTCCTGTAAAAGGCATTGGAATGTGTTATAAGCGACGGATTGTTGCGTTGTTGGAGGAAAATAACCTTTTTAGAAAAGAATAACAAATTCTCCTCCTCCTGGTTTCAAATGTGTCAATATAGTTACAGACAAACATTTCACTCGCACTGCATATTGAATTAGAACTATTTCACCTCATATACATGTTTAGTGATGGACTTGTTTTTCTGTTCGCAGATTGAAACAGAGAAGAATGAATTAAGCACAAAACTCCAGGAAGACAGGCCTACTATTGAGACCATGACAGCCAGGGCACAGGACATACTTGCTGTGGAAGGGAATTAAGTTCATGCAGAATAGCTATCTTTTGCAGAGGGGAAACAAGTCAGCAAACCAAAGACGAAACCAAGGGGGTCTATGAATCTATTTTATTATCTCTTATATACATTTTTACATATTAATTATAGATGATACATCTTTACTGCCTTCTTATTAATACAAGAACTTTGTTGACGTAACAAAAGTACAGCGACTTTCGTAAGGTCTAAAACTAAATGTAGACATACAGACAAATAAATGGGTACAACGAAATTATCCTACGTACAAAACAATAGATGAGTCAACTTATACTACTTGTTCTAAGGTCTTAACATTCTTTGATATATTTACCTATTCGTACACAGTAAGGGTTATTACCTTCTAGGATGAAATTAAATTTATCTATATAATAGCATGAAATGTAACAATTTCTGTTGAGCAAGCGGAGAGAAGGTTGAACAGCTTTGTGCGTTTATCGTTATATTGTGGAAAATCCATCCTAAAATAGTTGTGTTCTGTTGTGCACTTTTATTGAAAAGACTCCAAGGTAATCTACATGTAGACTTGGCAGCTTAATTCTTGCTAACATTTGATGCAGCATTAAAGATACATCACTATTGAATAGTACATTAGATTTATGTGATTTTAAAACAGCTCACTGTCCAAAGTTTGAAACTTAGAATCCTAGAATTATAGTAGGTCTAGAATGTTACAGAATTACAGTCAAGCCTGCCAAAGAGACCACCTCTTCTGTCCATCGTGACCGCTTTTTCTCGGTCCCAAAAATTTTTCCCATTGACACAAGCATTAAGCAACCTGTTCAAGGTGACCACGTACCTGGCCAATGCGACCGCGACCACCCTGAGTTGGGTCCGCTCAAGGCCTGATACCTGCCCATGGTGACCTCATCATTTTCAATCATGTTGATTATTGATGAATAACTAATGAGAAATCATGGAGAAACCAGCCAGTTTTCCTTGACTGCTGGATGATGTTTTTGTTTGAGGTAAATTGTCCCATGTGCCACCCCCCTCACATGCATTTACTGCATTTGATAATAGAATATCTCGACTTGGAAACCATTTATGTCTCAGTCATGTTGTGAGGCGACCCTCTTCAAGGAGACCACCTGTCCTAGGTGACCACTTTTCTTAGGTCCCCTGGGTGGCCGGCTTGGACAGGTTTGACTGTACTGCTAACTACCATTGATGTGAAGACATCTACAAGGACAGGTTTATAAAATAATAGTGTGCAGGCATCTTTCTTGGTGTTTCCGCCTATTGTAATCCTGCTTTTGCCTCCAAGCTTCTCAAAGCAGTAGATCCTCGGAAGGACCTTTATCAACAGCCTCCTAACTTCTTACACTTGGATGATTCACTTCACGCCTATTCCAGGGAGCTAGTAACCATATACAGTTCCCTGTTACCAGGTGCTGAACAGAGGAGTATTTGGTAGTTGTGAAAAAAAATATGCCATCTCGTAGTAAAAGGGGCAAATTGCAAATGAAGAGAAACAATGAATGTAAATAATGCTGATGTAATGTAAATCCTATATATATTTTCCATAAAAGCACTAGTTTGCAGATCTGTAGTAGTCAGCAATGGTCTCGTAGGTCCACCATTTGTTTTGAACCACTGGTGCTGAAAGCCACCCTACGCAATGCCCCCCCCCTCCTCAGTTCGTAATAATATAAGCCGGGTGGACTGGGCATTTTCGCCTCAGTTGTCGCATAAATCGACCCCTAAAGGCAGGTCGAACAACTCTGCCTTATCTGGAGCCACATAATTGGCTCAAACACTTCCATTCGTCGGAAAATCCGTCATAATTCAGTCATTTTAACCGTGTTTACCTGAAAGCAGATGAGCGCAGAGCGACTTTTGGTGTTTTGAATCAGTTGCCGATATTTGTAGCCTGGTTACCAAACCTATTATAGCTCCCGAGTCCTAGCTACGATATTTGGCCATGAAGTTAACGCAATCATTTCTTCCAACCAATCAACAACGAGCAAACATAGTACGTGAACCAATCAGCACCAATAGCTCAGTCTCGCTGCAAAACGCAAACGTCACTAGAATATCTGACCAATCAGCATTAAGGATACGTATTTCAATGACGTAAATGTAAATTTACTACCTTCAGCGCCATGGATCAAAAGCGACTTCTAGCAGTCGTTGAAATTATTGCAGGAAAAAAAATTCTCAAGTACCTGCAATAATTACACGGGGTGCTAGAGGCCCTCGCTGACACGTGTACTGATGGTGCTCCTAGCTAGTTGCACCCCAAATTACTTGGGCGCGAGGAAGTAAACTTGGCAATGGAGGGCGTCGGTCTAGCCTGGAATGAAAAGATAAACAAACAGGCATACCGACAAACAGCCAACTATTTTGACCTTTCGATATAGATGCGTATATGAAGTGGAAGCAACAGTATATTTATTAGGGCTACTCTTCAAGCAGAGGTTGATGAGACAATTAAATCAATTAATTAAGATTATTACCTTTTTATATATCAAATCAAATCAACTATATATGCCACTTTTTTGTCGCTACCCCCACCAACTCTCCAAGTAGTGGTTGATGGGGCCGGGAAGATTGTTACCATTTCATATTTGTCCCGTTTTGTCGCTACTCCCACCAACTTGTTATAAAGTAGTAAACTGCTTGTTAGTAATAATAGTATGCCTGTTTGTTTATCTTTTCATTCCTGGCGAGACCAGCGCCTTTCAATGCCAAGTTTACTCCCTCACGCTCTCATTATTTGGGGTGTAATCCGTGTAATTATTGCAGGTACTTGAGGAAATTTTTCTCGCAATAATTTCAACGACTGCTAGAAGTCGCTTTTGATCCATGGCGCTGAAGGTCGTAAATTTACATTGAAATATGTATCCTTAATGCTGATTGGTCAGAATTCTCGTGACGTTTAGCGCTTTGAAACGAGGATGAGCCGTTGATGCTGATTGGTTTATGTATTATGTTTGCTCGTTGTTGATTGGTTGGAAGCAAAGATCGCGTTAACTTCATGCCCAAATATGGGCAACCGATTTGAAACACCAGAAGCCGCTCTACCGCATGGAAGAACGTTCTCTTGCGGCGTGTTGTGCGTGAATTCTCTCCAAAGTTTGGAGTGAATTTTCGGCTTGTTGTCAGCAAATTATTCATCAAAAGTGTACAGTATATCTCAGGAACGTTTCAGGGATGGATTTATGCGGTTCTTTGGATGTTTGAGCGAGAAAATGTGCAATTACCGGCAGGGTAAAGTTTGGACAAGAAACGAAACATGGCGGGAAGGACGGCGTGGTGTTGGAAGACCCCAAAGAAGACTCATTTTTTTCCGAGGTAAGACAAAAAACTATCTACCTAAATAAACTAACAACAAACCAGTAGCAACAGGCCAAGTTATATTTCGTTGTGTTAATCGTTATATTCCGTAAAAATTTGCGTTTGGAACGGTATTTTCACTAATAGGGCTTGTATTTTTGATAGGGAGTTTTTATTGAATGTCGTGGTTTGGGAGGCACTGAATGTATTTCTTCCGTGTTGAGTGGCATTGAAAAAAGCCAGAGGAGCAAATTTCGCTGCTAAAAACGGAACCCTTTTTTTAATATCCGCAGTTTGGTTCAGTGAAAACATTTTGGAATGTACCGCACGTGTGCATAATTAAATCCACTCAACTTTCCCGCCAAAAATGTCGCGTAAACAAGACTTCCTAAGTCTAAAATTAACTGGGTGCTTATATTATACACTTCTGAACACCCCAAAATTAAATCTACATGTACAAGTGAAAATAGTTTAATTTCGGTTTTGAGGTGTATCCTTGCTTTTAAATCAGAGGTTGTCACATTGGTATTTTACGGGATTTTATACTTCATAATTTGCCATTTCATGAAGCAGTCTCTGTGGATGCACTGATTTGGTTTTGAGGATGAACTATGCAATCTTGGTCCTGCATACCAATGAGGAATTTAACCTTGTGCATACATGTACCTGCACGCATACCATGTTTTTTTCTTTTAAACAACTTTATTCAGTATACAGGAAATCATACAAACAAGTCATATACACTGTACATAATAAACAGAGATAAAGTAAGGGAAGATAAAATAACCTCAGGTAATCATTCATAACAAAAGAAAGAGGTGTGTATATATATATCATTTAAACAAATTACTGGGTAGCATTCATTATTGTCATGTGATGTTTCAGTTTTACATTGGAAATATTTCATGTCAGGTTTTATATTTTTAATGAAGCAGCTGTATATGACATATTTAGCTATTAGGATACATTGCAGTAGAATAGGATCTGTGTGTGAAGTTTCTGGTATACAATATATAATTAGCTTCTCAGTTAAGGCTATGTCCTGCTGTATTTTGTTTTTCCCCCACCTTGTAAAATCTTTCCAGAAATATGTGACATAATGGCAGTGTATTAACAGATGTTCAATAGTGTTTGGAGTAGAATGTAGAAGGCTGGTTTCTACTTTATCCTACATCTGTGACATACATCATAATCATACAGTACAACTGTCTGGACTTCACGGTTATGAAAAGCTCTTCTCAGGCCACACCAATTTAATTTGTTGGTTCTCGGATTTGCGTCTTAATTTTTTTTCTGATTTGCAACAAACAAACAAAAACATTCAGATTCAACCCAAAAAATGCTCATATTTTGCCCCCAACAGTTCAGGAAATTCCATTTTTTTTCCTATTAGTACTAGTAGTTGTTACATTTTTCCATCTACCATTCTATCAAAACAGTGGTTTGATTAAAAGTTCAACTTAATGTTTATTATTAATAAGTATTAACCCGACATTTTGTGTAGACTTCATGGCTTACTACTATAGTAGCATTTGGAGCTATAATAGGATGCCTAGATCTGTATTTTTTTTTTGCCCTGTTGCTTCATATTTTTTTCTGAAAAATCCGAGAGCCAACAAATTAAATTAGTGTGGCCTAATAATCCTAACCTCTGTTTGGATTTGCTGGATACAGTTGCTGCATTTGCATGTTTCCTGTATTACCTGGTCCCTCAATGTGTAGTTTGCCATAAGGCCACACCAATTTAATTTGTTGTTTCTCGGATTTACCCTGTATATTTTTATTTTTTTCTGATTTGCAAAAAAAAAAAAAAAAATTACGTTTGGATCAACTGCAAATTGCTCAATGAAAGACATATTTTGGCCCCAACGGTTGAAAAAAAGTCATTTTCTTCTCAGTTATTAAAGTCTTTCAATGCAAAGGTTAAAAATCTA